TGTTAGTATTCCCATATCTTGGATTCATTCACTAATGCAGCATACTGTAAACATTGTTTTACTACCAATTAAGTGCCGGGCAGCGTATTAAGATCTTGAGTTAGGGCAGCTAATCACAGATTTTTAAAACTCTATCGATTCATTGCTTACTGATTAGTGATTGGTTGCTGCTGCTATTGTCAGATGCTGTCCAGTCAAGTTTGACTCAGAGCAAACCCATGTTACCGAGTGCAATAGCCTTTTCTTGGCTAGGATTTCCTTGGCTAGGATTTTTACGGTAGCAGATCACCTGGTCTTCCTCCCGTGGAACCACTGGTGCAGTCAATGGCCAACATTTGGGTTAGCAGCTAAAGGCTTCACCATTAGCACCACAAATGTCTCCTAATAGGTTAATTGATTTATTTTTAATTTTAAACTATTAATTTGTATGAACCCAGATATATGTTAAGATACCTAGGTCTTGACAGAGAAAATAATAAAAGCCAGTCTTTGTTGAGTGCTTAGTATGTGTTGGATGCTTCACTCAATTCTTGTTTATTGTCTCGTTTTACCCTCACAACCTCAATGAAATGCCCCCCTCAAGGGAAAGACAAAGACAATAAAGTCCATTGTCATTAAGTAAACTGCCCTTGATCACACATTCTTAAATATGGTGATGAAGTTCGAACCTAGAGTTAGGCGTCATTGTGCATCTGTAGTGATCTGAGGCTAATGATAAGCAAGCACGAGGGGTGGAGACAAAGATGAAATGGGTAGTTAGTTATCATTTTTCTTATTTTAATTGTGGTTCTGTTTAATTTTTCTCCAAATTAAATATGATTGCATAAACAATAGAGATCTTAAACTTAAGATTCTTAATTAAGATTCTTAATCTCTAACACATGAATATAGACTGCGAGATCACATGTTAGGCTCTGAAAACTGAGGTAAAAATTATGGCCCCAGGAAGAACAGGGGGGAAAGGAAGAAGAAGAAGCTAGCAGGAAAAGGGTAGTCCTGATTCTTACCAAGAACATCCAAATTTCAACCCACTCCTTAATGAATTTTTTAAAAATACTGGTTGAAAGTTAAGAATAATGTTTGTATATTGGAACATCAGACTTGTTAGATACTTCTCAAAGGACAGTACAAAAGAAAAAAAATTTAATTCCTAATTTGTGTGCTATTTTATTTCTGAAAGCCCTTAGAGACAAAACCCAGAAGGAAAATATATTAGATTTGAATGTATATTTAACAATGGTCTGTGTAAATATTCAGGAAAATGTGGTCAGCAATGTCTTTGAAGGGATTGATAAGCCATGCAGAACTAAGGTCAATGATATTTGAGATTTTTCAGTTTATTTTAAAATTTTATATTTATTAACGAGAACCAGACCCACTACCATCTAATTGATTCTGACTTATTGAGACCCTATATTGAGTTTCCAAGGCTGCAGATATCTATAGGAGCAGAGGGCCTCTATCTTCTCCCAAGGATCAACTGGTAGTTTTGGGGTTTTTTTTGCTTTGTTTTGGTTTTTGATTGTTCACCTTATGGTTATCTGTCCAGTGCTTAGAAGTGAGATAACGTCCTGAAAAATGAAGCAGCCAGACACAGAACCATATGCTTTCTCATGTGTCTGTACCTCCCATAAGGAGTTGAAGCCACTGCTTTCATAAGAAAAATGGTCATGAGTTAAAACTTAAACAAACCATGATATCCGGTTGTATTCTATCAGACATATTAGAAAATGGAACATGAGTCACACTATCTTCAACTGACATTTGAAAACCTAATTTTCAGAGTCTGTATGGAATTTAAAATAAAGAGAGAGACCAGAAAGAGTAGGATTCTGGAGTGTAAACGTGCTTGTGATAATTTAATATTGGATCATCCTAAAGACCTCATTGCCAGAGAAGACTGCTGGACTTCCAGCACAGTCTACACAGGTTACCAAGAATAAACCTAAGTTCTGCACTGACGTTTCCAAAGTCGAAGCATCTTGAAGCAGCTCTCTGACAGCTACAAACCCCCCACCTTTTCAACGTGCTCTTTCCTAGCGAACAGGAGAAAAAGAAACCAGGAAAGGAACAGATCACACACACAGTTTAAGATATGTGCTTGCTCTCAGGCCCATCGTGCTAGCGTACTTTAAATATATAACCTGGTTTACTCGATTTTTTGTTGTTCATTTTTATCTAATGACTTTCTCTAACACATTTCCTTCCGGCTCTACCCTTTAACCCCTGGAAAATGTGTTTTGAAAATGACATTTCAGCTTACTACCTCCAAAAGGGACCCTCACTTCTCAGCCATTTCTAATCACTGTCTCGCTCACAGTCCACCCAGCCAGGTACAAACATGAAATGACTGCGCCGCGTTGTCACCCCCACCCCCAGCCAAGAAAAATGAACAAAAATACTTACGATGGTTCTTAGCCAGGAGCATTTTATCCCTTTATTCGCTAGTGGTCAATGACTCAGATATGAGTTGGCCAGGAAAAGAACTGCTTTACCCAAAATCTTAGCACAAAATGAGTCATCTCACTCCAAACACCAATATATCCTCCAAAATAACTGGCAAGAATTTCCTATAAAAAGGATCCAGCCTTCACTCTCTTCCATCCATCTAGTGCTCGGATTCTTCTAATTTTTCAATTTCCTGTGTAATTATAATATTGCATGTTTAACAAAAGCCTGAGAACATTTCTTTCTCTTTATCTCACTTTGAATACCAGTTTCCTGGCCTTCAGGAAGAGTACAATTTCGACATCATTCCCCTGAAAGAGCTAATCACTTTAGGGTGGAGCTTTAAAGAGCTGGGGTTTCTCACCCCAGGCTTTCTTCCCCGCTCTCTTCTATTAGGCGAAATGTGTGCACCGTTCAGTAAAAATGTAAGAGGCAGTTCTAGAATATTCCCTCTCCCCCGCCCCCCTCAACTGAAAAACTGAGTTCAGCGGAGGAAAACAATCCAGGCAAAACAATTTTCCTTCTTACAAGAAAAATCAGTCAAAAGAGATATAATCTTTCTGAAACTGATTAAATAGCATGAAACCATGCTGAAAGCCTGAACTTTGCTTCCCAGAGCGTCGGAACACTCACATTCACATACTTTCTCTGACTTCAGCTTAAACCCCACTCTGGACTGAACATAAAACAAACACACAGCTGCTGCAGCGCCGGTTCTGACTCACGGCGACCTCGTGTGTCAGCGTAGAACTGTGCTGCATAGGCTTTGAATGCTGATACTTTGGAGGTAGATCACAAGCCTTTCATCTGAGATGCCCCTGTGGTGGCTTTGAACCCCTAACCCTTATGTTAGCAACTGAATGTGTTAACTATTTGCACCATCCTGGGACTCCCACTTGGATAAAACACAGCAGTTTTCAGGACTCAGCACAGTGTACACAAAGAGGCATGCTTGCGGATTTCAGTGTTGAGATTGCTTCTCTCCCTGGAGTCTTACCATGGACTGTTACTGTTCGTTAGTCTACACTCTGCGTTTCCAGGGTGAGATGGCCTCAGCTTCACTTCACTCCAGTGGAATTTAACTTGTTTCTCTCTAGTAAATGAATTCGAAAGAATAGCTGTGCTCCTTTTATATCCAACACTAACAGATGGTACTTTCCTCAGTTTTATAGCCCTCAGACGACAGGCAACTGGCTCTATTTGGCTTTGGGAATAATTGCAACACCTTTGGACTATGAACTCGGTTCACTTCTTAGCTGGTAACGGCAGGGGGTGGTTCCTATCACCAGAGATGTAAAATACGTTTTCCCCTTTTCTCCAGATGCCTATGAGAAGGTACCTTCTCATACAGAACTATAGAACTACCCCCACCCTTCCCACGTCCTATTAGTAATCTGCTTTTATAAAGGTTATAGGAAGAAAAGAAAATAATTGAACAAAAAATGAAACCTCCTATTCATTGTATCTACTTCTCTTGACCAAAATAAGATGTTAAATCCATTAAACTCTGAGGATCCAGGAAAAGCAAGAAACCTAGAACTGCTCAGATTGCGGCATTCTTGGAAAAACTGCCAGCCTCTGCACTGGTAGCAGGATCTGTGTAATTAATAGTGATGTTATGGAAGAGGGAGTCCCATTTCCTTCTCAGAAGCACTGTAAGGCTCTTAGCTGGCAAGGCGTTAGCAAAAACCTCACCTGATTCATTTCTAAATTAAGGAAATGTGGCCTCCACACCAGCCACAGAAAGCACCAACGTTAATATATAATTGTGGCAGGGCTGGTCCCAGCAGACCGGCAAGATCCTGGATGCAATATTGTCTGGAGGATCGGATGGAAGACACACAAACCGCACGGTGACAACTGTTTCTTACAGAGAATAAGCGCATCAACTTGTTGGTTCATAAACGGTTTTGTTTTGTTTCCCTCCAGAAAGCTGTATTTATATGAAGACCCATTAAAATAAATCTTTCTCAGGGAAAAGATGAAGTCAAATCCAAATCAGGTCCGCAGGGTCCTTGTGCATACTCCCTGTCTCCCTTCGGTGGAACTTCCCTCCTTCTCCACTTCATTTTAGACTGTCTTATAAAAGAATTTCCCATGTAGTCTGGCTATTCAACAGACTAGCAATACCTCCAGCGTCAGCCCTTCCCAGTTCCCTTTTAAAAAGCAGCAACCTCAAAATGATGAGAAAAGGCAAAAGAACATCTGGGAAAGGAGCGATAACTAGGGAAAGAAGTTAAGCCTCCCGTCATCTCTTCCTATAATGATCTGGACTAAATCACCCAACAAGAAGTGAGTTTTCTCACCGCCCAGCTCATCCTTCTCTTTCTCCAAGTATGGTAGCACAGGCCCTTGGCCCTGCCTTTACCAGGCAGGATGGCACAAATGCATTCTTGAGAACCTACACGCACAGTGTGATCTGGGGCTTTCGAGGGGGAAGGTGGTGGAAATGGAGCAGACAGGTGAGGGGAAGTCCGGAGGGAAGCTCACAAACACTGATGGTGGTCCTGGATGTCACAGACCAGCATGATCCCCCCAGGCTGGATCCATACCTGCGGTCTTCTTGAGCCACGGGCTGTCCCACATCCACAGTCAGGGAGGCCAGGGCCGAAACAGTCTCTGTCTCCTCTTGCCACTGAGCCCCAGCCAGAGCACGGCCCCTTGGCATAGCCACCATTCTCAATGACTCCCAGTACTTGCCTAGAAAAAACACGCACCGTCATTTATAGGGATTTTAGCTAGAACAGTAGTAACGAGAGTGCTCCTATAAGTGCAACCCAGTGCATTAAGCTACAATTCACCATTTATACACAGCTGTAATTTGATTTCTTAACTATTATGACTAAGAGTTTTCCTTGATCCTAGCATGCCAAGTTGGGAAGTGCTCATGTTCCAAAGCCCAAGTCACACCCTCTCTCAGAAGGTAATAAATTGAGTAATAAGTCATGGTCTAATGAACTATCAGGCTGATGGCTGTCTTGGCGACTAAGAAAGCGAGCTCTGGGCGCCGTGCCCCCCGGGAAATCCTCTCGTGGCTGGGAAGCAGAAGTTAGTCTCACGGAGCAAATGAATGAAAGAGTTATGTTTAGAATTGCTACTTGACACGGTATCTTTTTGTTTTAATAAAAATAAAGTTGCAATATTGAAGAAAAGCTCAGAAATACCAGGGTGAATCGAGTGGTAACTTTGCCAGAAACAATCAGTTTGTCAGCCCTGGGTGTTCTTTCTTCGTCAACCTCAGGGTGTGGGCTAGAGCAACAACTGATTGAAAACTTTCATCTATGCACTGGCTGATGCTGGAACCCTTCCACGGGTCAGAAGGAGACGTATGTTTTCTGAAGCAGGAAAGGAGAGTGAGAAGACAGTGAGAGGTCATCTTGCTAGAGCATGCCGGTGTCAAATGGCAGGGTCATCTTGTAGCTAGTTCTAAGGTATAGTTTGTCAATTGTTGAGAAGCCTGATATGAACAGCATGAGAGTCTCTTTAGGTGTTGAAATAACTCTTCAGGTGGGAACCCTCTCGACAGCCTCATCAGGATGGCAGGCACTTGGTATGAAGAGTTTGCTTACATGTCTTGTTGTCACAGAAATGGCAAATTAATAAAAACTGGATTAGGAGTAAGATTAATGGGTACTGAACCAAAGACTGCCACCGATCACCCCTAGGCTCCGGCAAGACACGGCAGGATTTTATTTATGGCTCTCAGTTCTGACAAATGGGCTGAATTTCTTCTCAAGTTCGATTCAGCTCCTGCTACTGATTTCCTTTCTTTTAAGGCTTCACCAGGCAATGGGTGTATCGTAGTAGACAGGAGACCCAGTCGAGCCATCACTCATCATGCTAACTGTCCTTTCTGAAGTATCTGTAGCGTTTGTGACCATCAACTTAGACCAAACTCAGAGAATCATAAAACTTTTAACTTGAATAGTAATCCTAACTGTTGAAAAACCAAACCAAACTGCAGACTAGCATTTTTTAAAGCTATGGTTGTACCAGATACAAGTAGAACACACAAAGATGCTTTCCTGACTCTAAGACATTCCGTCTACTTAGATAACCCTCTTGGTTAACAGTGAGAATTTTTGTGGAAAGGGTTCATTTAATCTGAGAGGAAATAAGTAGACCATTACTCAAGTCTAGGCAGAGTAATAGCAAGGCAGGAAAGACTTGCCAGGAAAGATAACCATTTGGTGTCCCCACCCCCACCCCACCCCCGTCATTAGCTGCTATGGAGTTCATTTTGAATGATGTAGATCCCAAGTGTGTTAGAGCAGAACTGTAGTCCATATCATGCTCTCTTCCTCTACCCACCTCCCCTACACACAAACATACATATATAGCCTCAAAATATGAAAAGATTGCCTTAAAATTATGCATATTGAAAAAGAATTTGATACTGTATTCACTTGAACAAAAATTCACCTCTGATAGTAACACATATTCCTTGTTCCTTAGATATGTGACTCAATTCACCCACATTTTATTGACTTTATGGAACGGGTCTCCTGCGTGAAGTCAGACAGCATATTCAGACTAGTTCTTTCTACTCTTTAGTGCTCATCAATTTATACTCGGAAAAGGGTCTGATTACCAGTTTAAGCCACAGAGAAGGCATCACCAAATTGTAGGTAAGTGCTCATTGGAGATTTTGAATAATTATAATCTGTTGAAGATGATACAAAAATAAGACCCTAAACTCAAAGTCAAGTTTTCCAGACTGGAGACCTCATGCTAGTCCCAGAGAAGTCACTAGATCATTCGGGGGCAGGATTTCTGTATTTATGGAAGGACCATGGTTGACTCAATGATTATAGAAGTTCTCCTCCAACTCTCACTCTCAGTGACTCTCATTTCTGATTAAAAAAATCATTGCGTACTATTCTTAAGTATTGGAATTAATTAGTTACAGCAGAAAATCTTACTTCTCTTTGACTTAAAAAACCCTTCAAGAGGTCAGCAAACACTTACTTTTAGGTAATAGGGCACATGGAAAATAACGTGAATTTTCATGCACTCAACTTTCTTCTCCAGGAAGGAGCTCTTGATCATAGGCAATGCAAACATCTTTACTCTCGAAATATAACTGGTACAGAAGGCATGGATCAATAGCAATCCTTTTTTCATACACTCAACTTTCTTCTCAAGGAAGGAGCTCTTGGTCATAGACAAAGCAAGCATCTTTACTCTCAAAATATGATTAGTATAGAAAATACAGATCAATAACAATCCTTCAACAGAATTACTAACATTGAAGCGTCAAATTTGGGCATGTGTGTATGTGAGTAGGAAGATAGACTTTAAATAGCAAAACCTTTGTTGATAAATTTAGTATATATAAAATACATTGATCAATTAAGATTAAAGGTGGAAAGATTGCTGACTCAGAACAAACAAAACATTTTTAAAGTCAATAAGACCTCTGGAGAGGTCTATAAAAACAAAGGGCATATTTTATATTAGTGTACATTTGTAAACTGTTATCTTTATTCATAAAGGAGGGTCATTAAAGTGGAAGTGGGCATTGTATAGAATTTATAATTTGCAAACCCCATAATTCATGGCCTGTGTTTTCACATGATGGGCAATTTTTTTTCAGCTTATAGAAACAGATGTGTGAGAACATTGTTTCCACTGGCCTGGGAATAATAACACTCTTAGTGCATAGGGGCAATGAACCAAGGTTTACTGTGAAAGAGTTTTCAGGGCTGCTCTTCATAAAGTAAAACATAAGGAACTACCCACCACTGGGTTGCTCTCCTACGGCAATAAAACTAGCAAAAGAGAAGTCATCCATTAAAAATGACGCACACTCCCTCTTCAGTCATATCTTTTATCCTCATTCACTGTTCCCACTATGTAAATCTTCTTGCATTCTTCAACATTCTCCCACCACCCCCGTCCTTTTTGTGTGTGCCTGAATGTCTATTCAGACTTCTGTGTTGTAGATTTTTGTCTTGTGAGGCACAAGTAAAGAAAATAATGAATCTATGATCCTCATGGTGATACAAAGTAGACAAGGAAATGCATCCCATCAAGTGGGAACCCTAATTGGGATTTCACTGGGTCACATAGGAGCCATGAGAGGATACCTGGCAGGTGCTGTAGAGTCAGGTTTCAGCATAAGCCAGATTGCCCAGCATGATGCATAATTTTGAAAAAAAAA